AAATTACCAGGGGAATTACTAATTACTAATCCGGCTTGGCAAGGTGATGGTGTGTGTGAAAAAGGACAAGAACAATTAGTGACTACAATTATTGTAATCCGAAGCAAATAAACATAGGATTATTTCTTACAAAAACTTTGCTTTCATTCTTGTTTATATTTCACCAAAGCAAGAAATTCAAATTTTAGGTACAAATTATTCATTGATTCCACAATTATTTCTTCCACCTTTTAAATTAGAAAACCACCGACCATCTCATAATTAACAAAAAAATTAAATACCTAATAATATCGGTATGTAATTTCAGCTATTTGGTACAATTATTAATTTATTACGATCTTCCTGCTTAAAATGGTCTGCCTAAAACTGTTTTCTATATTAAACCAGCAACTACTTCGGAACTCCAACGTAAACAGCGGAACTCCAACGTAAACTATATCAACTGCAATCTGCACTTCAGTTAATTTAATCTTGTGGTTGCAATATGTGTGATCTAATTTGAGTAAGCAAATTAGTAAGATCATTTAGGATTCAATCAAACTACAATAGCAACATGAGGGATTGTCAGTGTGGATTTTACTCATGACAACCACGAATTTAATCACATATATAGAGAAAATACATGAAAATTACGATATTCTGTTGAAAGTTATTTGTAATCAATACTATTTCTTCCCCTTTAATTATTGCAAAAGTTTGTAAGTTTTTCAGAAATACCATTTTTGTGTTGATAAAAATCTGTGAAAAGCAACTATTCTGTATCTAAACATAGAAACGGCTTTTTTTCATTGTCAATGTAACAAAAACTGAAGGTCGACTGATCGAACCCTGTATAAGGCTATGAATATATATATATATTTGAACCAAATCCGCTACTAAATATCTAACACCCTGTATATAATTAATCCACTTTGAAAGTATGGACGAGAAGGCTAAGGGTATAGCTACCGTTCCTGAGAATATCGTTTCTCCAGCTTTCTTACTGTAAAATAGGAATGATTTTTCCCAACCTACTGCTCTGTGATACCTTTTTTAAAAAAAAAAATATTTCGAAAACAGTAAAGTTTAGAAGTAGAAAGGCATTATAAAAATCTACCCAAAATCATAAGTAGAATTCAAAACCGGTATAACCGGAAGTGCTGCATAGATGCTGTTATTTTAATTGAGAAAAGCATACCCAATAACGCTATTGTGCAAATTTTTAAAATTCGAATCGAGGTAGTTTCCGAAAAATTCTAACGGGTGGTCACCGTGAGACACCCTGTATAAGTTTGTGAGGAAAGTATTTTCAATTTACGCTAATAATAAACGATACCTATCTTCTCAAAGACTAAATTAAAAGCTTTTGTGTATACCTTTTTACTGTAATCTCGATCAATTTGTATAAAAATAGGAAGGGCGGCAAATCTAGACTTCACCCTTGGAGACAGAAATTCATGCTACGCCACTGAATGTACATATATATATATATTTATATCAATACTTTAAAAAGTTTTTTACTTTTAGCATGCATACTATATTATATCCCCAACAGTGAAAAGCCGACTTAATCTTCATGATTTTCCCCAGCCCAGCATGGTGATAAAACCTATGAACAAAGGATAAAGGTTATCCCTTGTTTACGTTTTTCCTCTAAATTGTCGCCACTAATTTATATAGAAAATCCTTTGTGAAACCCTACTCTTACAGAAAATTAGATAGAGTACAACAAATCCGGAAAGAAGCCTCGGAGAAGAACAGATTTGCATAGAATCTGAAATTACTTATTTTGCTTTTCAATGCTTATATAGAATACATGTATATTGTACACCTACTGAAAAAATGAAAAAAATAACACGCAAAGCCTGGTACAACCTTCTTTTTTATCTATTCTGGGTAATTGAATCTATCCCATTTTTCAGAAAAATAATAATTTTTTACCTTCAACACTTTCATTTTCTTCCCAAGACCCAATTTTTTAAATAAATTTACGAATAATTCGACTCAACTTACGGAACTAAAACAACCATAAAGATTTAATTGGAAAGAAACAACATCTCGTTATAAAGTTTTATGCAGCGTGAAAACAAAAATATGTCATTAACTTGGTCTGGTTAACAATGTGAACTACAACGAGGTAAAAAGACGTGCAATTCCTTAAGAACGAATCGATAAAATATTTTGTTGTCGTTTGAATAAACTTTCCGAAAGCTTTCACTTTTCTGCAAGACGCCTCGAGGTTCACCTTGTTATACACTTGATCTTGATACTACTAATCAAGTTTTCAAAGGAAATGTGTTACGAATATGATCGGAGAAAGTTAACCAGATCCTGCTTTTAACATTAATTATACATAACATCTGTTATATTATAAACCCACATGAAATTAAAATAATTATGATGTTTACGAAGACCAAACAGAAGCATACGTATTGAGAAGTGAGAGGTGTCTAAACAACATGGCACTGATAAGGGAAAATTTTTATAACTCCTACACTATAGGTACCATGCAATTGTGGACTTTTTAATACGATATAAAATAATTAATTTTGATCCAATATGTGATGGAACTGACACAATCTTCGAAAAAGAATTGAAAAAAACAAATTCGAAAGTTAACCTTCAGGTGATGTTAATTATAATGTGTATTGTGTACAAACATCATCTGTATAGGTAAATTGCTATTGTATCTTTAACGAAATTCACAAACTTTCAACAAGGTCCATAAGGATATCGACTTGTCGAACTGAACCCACGACGTACCTACCTTACGTGGTAGGCACGCAATTAAATAGAACAAAAAGCTCATGGAGGTCAGTATTGTCTAGGAACCATCAAAAGCGGATTGCGATTTCGTGTATCTCAGCTCATCAACTGTTTATAACGCGCTGATCGAAAAAGATTGTTAAATGTGTATGACTGAAGCGCAGCGCTGTATGGGTGCGAAACATGGAAGGTGGGCGCAGCGGAAAAGAAGAGATTAGAACGTTTGAAATGTAGTGTTACAGGCGAATGATGAGGATACCGTAGATACGGAAAGTTACAAATGAACAGGCATTAGAAAGAATAGGAGAACAGAGGACTCTATGGAAGTCAATAAAAAATATGCGAGATAGATTGGTATGACACCTTCTCAGGCATGGAGGTCTTGTCAGAGACATATTAGAGGCAGAAACAGGAGTTAAGAAGTGTAGAACCTAGATTAGATTACTGCTCGCAAATAATTAACGATGTGGGATGTTCAAGCTTTAGGTTAATGCGAAGATTAGCTCAGTATAGGAAAATGCGAAGGTACGTGTCCAACTAATCTTAGGACTGACGACTTTATGATAATGAAAACAGTTAGTTTTCCTCGAGGTGTTTTATGATCCATGCGCACTATTCGCATGCAAATTTGACCCTTGCTCTGTTTACGAAATTTTGCCGCTATGTGGTGCACACCTATTTTACAGATCCCTACACCTACAGAAAAAATAACCACTTTGTGGATTGAGACGATCAAATATTGGTTCAGAAAAACATAAATAAGAAACTTTTTTGTTTTGCGTGAGTGAAATAGGCTGTAACGGAAAAATATACCTATATATATATGCTTGTAGGTAGAAGAAATGTGAAAGTAAAGCAAAAACGAATTCTACGGGAATTACAAGTAGAGTACAGGTTAATTTTACTAAAACAGTTTCACTGTTACTGTTAAATATTTCTTTTCCTAAAACAACTAGAGAGAAGTTTAGAAAACAATTAAATCAGTTGTCCACGTGGTACATACGAAGAACAACTACTAAAATAATAAAAAAGTATACACATTTTCATGGTTATATAAGACAAAAGATAACAACGAACCGACATGTGCAATTCAATTTACAAAAGGAAAAAATTAGAGCGGGTGGTCAATTTGAATTTCTCAATTCAATGAAAATATAATCAATGACAAACGATCTTCTACTTCCATCACATATTTACATATTCCATGGTCTATTTTAGTTTCGTTTCTTTTCCCATTTTCATTCTTGCAGTTTTTATGGTTTGGTCCGTTTCTACAGAACAAATCCAGCAGGTATTAAGCCTTTTTCTAATTAACCTTGTGAACTGTATAGATATTAAAAAGAATTAAAAATATTAGTTACCAATTCATGAGCTTTGGACTTTGCAGAATACCTACCCCTTTAACGATTGCGAATTTTGAACTCCAATATTGACTAAATTGTGTAAATGGCGCATAGATAGTGCCTCAGGCAACTCTAATGAACAAGAATCCTTTCTAAGTAGTAGATCAGTTGGGTTCGAAAGGTAAAGTCAAAGTCACGGTCAGATTTCTGTTTCTCCAAATATAAAGCATTCGCGTGTTTATTAGAAAGGAACACTTCACGTAAACGAAAGTGGAGTCAAAATGATTGCATTTGGAAAAAAACGATCGAGGTCACTTTTGCAGACGAGTGAAAACAGAATGTGGGCTGATGACGTTGCGAATTTTTCAAACAAACGAATCTTTTCTATGAATGAGCTATCACTGGATAAGCTATTGATCAGGCCAAACCGTGCACAGTCCGTTCGCTCAATTGAGAATTGCTCTTGTATTGCGTTCCGCTTAGCAGATGGTACATTCTCTGATGATCGTTCATTTGTAACGGAAGAAGTGTGCCAATGCCCCATGCTCTATGTAATTACCTTGGCGACTTTTCTTTATTAAGAAGCCATTTCGATCTTTACAACATGCAAAAAACACTTACTGGACTAACTCCATTTCTAGTGACCGCGCACGCTCCAGTTTAGATGGGTAGAAAAACGTACGATGGACATAAGCCTTCTCTTTCTATCCAATACAAAAGCCTTTTTGCCTTTTACTTATTGGCTTAACCAACATCTGGGACGGTTGGACTATCACACTAATAGCATTTTGCTCCATTTATCCAACTTAATTAAAATAGTGACAGTACTTCTGGAATTTGATATATAAAAGACTACTGAGCAACTGGACGGTCAGTATCTTTTCGAGCTTCTTGTGTGCAACGATAACGAGAATGATGTGCAAGGTTCAGTTATTGGTGTGCCTTTTTGCCCTTGGAGCGACAGTTCGGGCGGAAAAGGATGCGCTTGATTACGGCCAAGGATTACAGATGTTAGGGAAGGTCGTCAGACAGTTCCTTCAATCGCAACCTGAGGATATTATATTAGGTGACGGAGTTCACTTAGTCACAACGCAAAATGCCAACGAAATCAGCGGAAGGGCAATGTCAGACGGTGGAAGTGTCTTCACTGCTTTAGAAAACTATTTACGAAGCCATGAAATTCAAATCAAATTGCCGGAACTGCTGCCCAAAGGAGATCTTGGTCGGTCTCTTAAATCCGTAATGGAGGACGTCAAGGAAGACGCGGGTAATTTATTCAATCGTTTCAGTATTGTTTGTTCAGACATAAACATCATCATTCTTCAAATTATTAATGCTATTAAAATATACATTATCTATTCCGTGGGTAATCGAACCAATAAAATAAATATCAATCAAACTTGATATCCATAAATAATTACCTGTAGATATAATTTTACAAGAAAATTAAAAAGTAGCTCTATTCGTTATGGGTTACAAACGTGTAATTGCAGATTTGGAATTTTACTCGATATTCATGCAGTAAATTTTTTTTACTATACCTAACTGTTTATGACAGATAAAATAATACCTAACTAAATCGTAATATTAACTATGTTTTAAATAAAAGTAAAAACGAAGATGCCCCAAATTTTTAAATAATTTATGTGATTTACATATTTGTCTATAGACTGCAATTCGTCATTTAGGTATTTGGCAATTTTAAGTGATTCCAAATTGTAGTTGCAAGAATTTTATTACAAATCGGACCTTTTTTCCTAACGATTTCACCACCTAGATATTTGTTAGTAAAGGAAGATATTAAAAATATTACAAAATATTCAAATATTATTCAAATAATTTTTCAGCATCAATAACAATACGATTACCTAATGTTTAGAATATGAAATTGATATTTTGAATTAGAAAATACAAATATTTATACATGTCGAATAGTAATATCTGACAAAATAACTTTGTTCAAGAAGTTACTGGAAGAGGCAAAAAGGGTGGTGGATTTGGAGGAATTATGGTTCTCAGTATGATGTTCGGTAAAATGTTAGCCGCCCTTGGATTGGGTGGTGTAGGACTTCTCGCCATGAAAGCCCTCATGGTATCAGCCATGGCACTTATGTTGTCTATGATAATTGGGATTAAAAAATTGGCCTCCCATGGAGGTGACGATGGGGGTTACCACGTTATTCACGCGTCCGGTGGTCACCACGACCGAAAGAAAAGAGAAGCTGCGGAGATGGCATACAACAGTTGGAAAAGTCTGTATAGTAGTATTACAAATTAGCTCATTTAAATTATGTCCCTAATTTATTATTTATTCATATTAATATAGTTATGTTGTTACATACTTGCATTTTTATTAGGCAAAAGATAAATTCCCTTTTGCGATAAATACGTACAAATTCTCATTTTACAATGAGACTCCTAAATTCAAACTCCATTTGAAAATACAAACAAAACAGATGTTGACAGAAAAAAACACAAAAGTAATATATGTATAAAGGGACATTTGAATGACCTTGCGAATCAGTGGTGTAGAAAACAGGCAATGAGTTGCATTATCGTGACATTGTACAGCTATTTTCATTTGTCCATCAAGCTTTTCAGTACATATTATTACTATAAACTAAAAGATTTAAGTCCACTTTCTCCAACGGTTAAAGGGGCATTTATATTTCATAAAACAGAGGTAGACGAGCGGTAGGCACTTCTCGGCAGAATTGGTTGCATACGATTTAACTTTAATTTTAGTTGGCGCTTGCACACAGTAATTCTTTTGCAAGAGACCAATTCATTTATTAGCATAGCTGATAGAGTGATTATCAAATTCGCTAAAAGGCTATATCTAGTAATATAAAACTGAAACTTAATCTTCCAAAAACAAAGAAAAATGGAAAGCCTTTACAAAATATTGTTTTCAAATAGTAAGAAGTAAATCATCATAAGGGTGTCAGTCTTAAGACTGGTTGGACACGCACCTCCACTCTTTCCTATCCTCAGCTAATCTTCGCATTTCTCTAAAACTAGAATAACCCACATCCTTAAATATTTGTGAATAGTAATCTAATTTAGGTCTACCTCTACCACTCCTAACTCCCGTTTCTTCCTCTAATATGTCTCTGACAAGCCCTTCATGCCTGAGAAGATGTCCTACCAACCTATCTCGCCTATTTCTTATTGACTTCCATAGAGTCCTCTGTTCTAGTATTCTTTCCAATACCTCTTCATTTCTAACTTTCTCTATCCACGGTATCATCATCATTCGCTTATAACACCACCTTTCGAACGCTTCTAACCTTTTCTTTTCTGTCGTGGCCACTGCGCATATTTCGCACCCGTACAACGCCGTGCTCCAAACATACACCTTTAACAATCTTTTCCGAATTTCTACATTAACCGTTCGCGAGCATAGAAACGACTTCTGTTTATTAAAGGCGGCTCGACCCTGTGCTATCCTTTACTTTATATTCCTAATACTCCTTCCATCCAACTTATCTGACTTCCTAGATACCTAAAATCGGCCACTTCTTCTAATTTTTCATCTCCTATCTCTATGCGTTCTTTCTCAACTTTTTCTTCTCTTGTATGTCAGTAGTTTTGTTTTATGTTTATTTATTTAGAGCTATCTCTAACTCCTCCTTGCTAGATGCTAATACTGCTAAGAATATCTTACGTTAAATAGATTATTTGTAAAGTAAATAGGTCAATATTTTTACTAAAAAGGTTCTAATCGAAAGGGCTACTAAATGCACCTACACCAATAGAATTTCAAAAGCAAAATCTTTTGAATTTTGGAAATAACGTAATTTTAATACGTTTCAATTTTACATATAACTAATATGCTTTGCTTTTCCAGTTTTCTTTAACGTCGGTCAGTAACAAAAATATGTTACGTTAAATAGATTATTTGTTAATCGGAAAATATGCATTTTGTCTTACTGAACTCATGAAATAAACGCAGCTGCAGCATGTCAAGCTTCTTATACTGTTAAAATAAAGTTGAAAACAAGACTGGCCCGGCGCATTCACCACAATTTAGAAATATGATAAAATGTGTAGAGTTCCAAAGATGGACGCGCTCCGATTAGCTTCAATTTTTTACCACCAACTTTGTTATAGACTATTAGATGAAGATACCTGTCGAAAGTTTTGTCGACTGAATCTGGAATGGGTAAAGAAAAACTTTTCTAATATTTTTCCTGATAATTTCAAAATTCAGTTCCGAAGAGATTACTCAGATTGACGTCAGATTTTTACATTACTATATTGAACATAGACTAAATATTACCTTATAGATTTTTTAATGACTCAAATTGAAAGGGGTGAAAGGTTCAAGAGGAAAATCGGTTCAAAAGAAAAATCTGAAGGTTTTTGAGTAGGTTTCGAGAAAAAAGCATGATTTTGCTTAGGATCGGGTTACGGTAGGAAAGGATAATGAGGACGAAGTGAGTGGTCTTCGTTTTATTTATAAGAATATCGTCCTAGGTGTGACTTACAGAAACAGGTTTTTTCCTGTACGCTAAGTAGGACCTACATCACTGTATTTCTTTTGACATAAGCTTTCGTATGCTGCCCTTTACCATATATATCCTTGTAGGAGTTATCCTAAATAGGTGTTAAAGAAATTTACCTAATCTTTTAAAAAAATACGTGTAAGCTAAAACGAAAAATTCATTAAAAATTTCTTCCGATATGAATCGCGAAAAATCCTTTTCCGTTTCATCTTCTAGTTTACAACAGAGTATGCACCTAGTAAAAATTTGAAGATAATCGGAGTGAATGACTATTCGGAACTCGATTTTTATGCTATCACGAATAAAAATTGTTTACTCTATCAGGTTCGAGTCGCCAAAATTCACAATTTAGTTAATAACGGAATATGTAGTAAAAATTTGAAGCCAACCATAGGGTGACCGTTTTAGGAGATTAAGTCGGAAATAAAATTAGAAACTGTTGAGAAATTAATTGTCCTTAGATATTTTTTTATCGTTGTTATTTAATTATCATCATCATAATAAGGTCGTTAGTCCTAAGACTGGTTGGACATGGACCTCCACTTTTCCCTATTTTGAGCTAATCTTCGCATTTCCCTAAAACTAGAACAACCCACATCCTTAACTACTTACGAACAGTAATCTAATCTAGGTCTACCTCTACCCCTCCTAACTCCCGTTTCTGACTCTAATATATATGTGACTAGACCTTCATGCATGAGAAGATGTTCTACCAACCTATCCCGTCTATTTCTTATTGACTTCCATAGAGTCCTCTGTTCTCTTATTCTTTATAATATCTCTTCATTTCTAATCTTCTTTATCCACAGTATCCTCATCATTCGCCTGTAACAACACATTTCGAACGCTTCCAACCTTTTTCTTTTCCGTAGCGCCCACCGTCCATGTTTCGCACCCGTACAGCGCCGCGTTCCAAACATACACCTTTAACAATCTTTTTCGAATTTCTAATTAACCTAAGGCGACTCGACCCTGTGCTATCCTCTGCTTTATGTCCCTACTACTACTTTCGATATTTAATTATACTCTAGCAAAAATATAACTTACCTATTAGGATGTACAATAACTAAATCTGTTATAAACAATAAGATTTTTTTCAAAATGGTGGGAAATTAACCATATTTCTGAATGTTTTCAAAAAATTTGTTGTCAGTGAAATTGATTTTTATCCATTTTAAAGTTACCTAGTCGGATATTATTTGACTAAACTGTTCCCATTGAAAATAAATAAACATCAGATTTACTTTCTCATGAATGTGTAAGCCATATAGCACTTACGCTTTCAAACCTTTCACAGTAAGTGACACTAATACCTTTTTTGGAAAGTGAAGGTAACGTAAAAAGCTTCTTTTGTCAAATGATGTTAATAAACGGCCAACACTTCATGTAAATACAATTCTGTAATTCTCAAATGAACATGAAAGGAAGCGTGTAAAAACAAATATCACTTCGATTTTATGATTGGAATTAGGTATATTTATCATCCGAATCTCCATCATTTTATACGAAAGGTTATATTTGAACTTTTCGAATAGAATCGGAGAAGCATCAAATCAGATTTGAAAATATGGTTTCATTAGTTGAGCTAACTTTATTTAAAGTTGGGATTAACTTGAAATTTTATTCACCTAGGTTTATTTTTAATTTATCCGTTATTTTTCCTTGTTTATATTTTAGTTAGAAATATTAATTCGAAACTTCTCGTAGGCAAAATGTGATCTTCTTTTAAAACAAAAACCCCTAAACATCATAATATAACTAGGATTAAAAAAATTAATGTTAGATCCTAATGGAGTGATAATTAATTAAGCCACTGTTTATTATTTTCCATAAACTTCGCCAAATATAAGTCGCGATTTCGACACCGACCAATTTATTTGCTGTAATTAAATAATGTTCAACAAATATCTACAGACCATCTGTGTCATTAGCGGGAATTTGCTATTAATTGTGACCTGAACGCTATTTAATGGTAGCAAGTAAATTGACCGGTTTTTTTGCCAGAACTATTTATGATGTGCTGATGAGAACTAAGGAGCGCGAAATCGGATTCCATATCTAACTGTTTCTACAAATCATACATATAAATTTATCATGCTATTACGCAATGGGTTTTCAGTATGAATACAATTAGTAATTCATTTTTACATAGCGTTCACCACACCTTTTGCAGTAATTGTTTATTACAGCGTTGCTCAATTAGGGTTGTGTAGGTCAGAAGGAAATATGAATCACTTACGCGTCAGTTTTTCCAAATTTTTTTTCTCAGTGAACTTTTGAAGCTTAAAGTTTGACAGTATTAAATTATACTAATCACATTTTTCCAATATTTATACAATAATTTAGAAGAACATACCTACTACGAATAGGGGGCTCCAAAACAAATGCTTACAATTTTTGTATTAGATATTCTCAAATATGAGTGCAAAAGTATGTTCCCCATCCAAATAAACGACATAAAGCAATCACGGTACAGAACCCTTTGTACGCCATTATTACTTCCACTTTTCAGGATTCCTTTTTCCTTAGTAGTTTCATTTCATTCATTCATTTCAACTGTTTTCTTCATTTAAGAGAAATATCTCATTCTAAAGAGCAGTGGGCGTCTCTACATATTAAAACAAATATTTTTAGGCACAAGAAGCAAATTTGATTAATCTCTAAATGAAGGCTTTCACGGCCGACGTCCTCAGTACTATTATTATTTGTTTTCTGGTTTTCTAGCCGTTGTTATTGGAAAATACTTCCCGGCGTTCGCCTACAACTGCGG